ACCCTAAACCCTAAACCCTAAACCCTAAACCCTAAACCCCAAAACGGGCGTACCTTCTAACGCAGCAGCAGCAGCAGCAGCAGCGCTGCCCACAGAAGCAGCAGCAGCAGTAGCAAAAATAGCAGCTGTAGCAGCAGTGTGCCTCTCCCTGCATCCTCGAGCCCCAAACCCTAAACCCTAAACCCTAAACCCTAAACCCTCGCCTGAGCTAGGGTTTGGCCCTTTGCTGCTTCTAGGGCCTCAACTGCTTCTGCTGCTTCTGGAAGTCCTTCAGCGCGCCGCCGCTTCAGCTCGTGCATGGCAGTCCCAAACCCTAGCCGCAAACCCTAAACCCTAAACCCTAAACCCTAAACCGTAAGCCCTAAACCCTAAACCCTAAACCCTGTGGCGTGCCGTGAGCGTCTAGCCCCAAACCCCAGCGTGGCCTGTACCATCAATTATAAGCTTCCATGCTCGAGGGTTTGGGGCTGGGAGTTTAGAATTTGGGTTTAGGGTTTACCTCCGGCTGTTATTTCTGGCCGGAGTATCTGCTGCTGCTGCTGCTGCTGCTGCTGCAGTTGCTGCTGCTGCTGCTGCGGATACGCTTGTAGGGGGTACAGCTGCGCAAGCTTTGCAGCAGGCGCAGCAGCAGGGAAAGCAGCACGACCAGCAGCCATCTGCTGCTGCTGCTGCAGCTGGTGCTGCTGCTGCTGCTGCTGCTGCTGCTGCTGCTTCGCTAAGTGAGCTATGCAGCGCATTGTTGCAGTTGTTTCTTCCCGCAGCTGAACTGCTGAGGGGCCCCCAAGGACAAACTGAGAGAGATTTGCTGCTGCTGCTTTCAGATTCATTTGCTGCTGCTGCTGCTGCTGCTGCTGGGGTTGCCGCGGCAGCAGGAGCTGCTGCTGCTGCTGCTGCAGCGCCCCCCGCCTGCTGCAAGCTATGTCGGCAAGGAGACTCAGAAGGCCAGCAGCATCTTCTTTATCTGCAGCAGCAGCAGCAACAACAGGTGCTGCTGCTGCTGCTTCCGCTGCTGCTGCTGCTTCTGTTTTTGTTGCTGCTGCCGAAAGCACGCATGCGGCTTCTCCCCAGATCTGCTGCAGCTCGCCAGCGCTCAGTTGCTGCTGCTGCTGTTGCTGCTGCTGCAACAGCTTCAGAGGAGCAGAAGCTGCACCTGCTATTGCTGCTGCTGGCGGCAGTCCACGCTGCTGCTGCAGTTCAGCTGCAGCAGCAGCAGCAAATGCTCCAGCGGCATAGGCTGGCTGCGGAAGAGAAATGTCGCAAAACGCTAAACCCTAAACCCTAAACCCTAAACCCTAAACGCTTGTGGTTCTAGTCATTGTAGGCTAACGAAGGTCTTACCTCAAGGAACATGGCGTCAGCTTCTGCAGCCATTTTCACATTCGAGGGTTTAGGGTTTGGAGGCTAGGGTTTAGGGTTTAGGGTTTGGGGTTTAGAGCCTAGGGTTTGTAGTTGAATGTCCATTTGGGATAAACAGTCGCACCCCAATCCCGCCAAAGGCGAAGGTTTAGGTAACTGTAAACCCTAAACCCTAAACCCTAAACCCTAAACCCTAGACCCTGGTGGTTGCAAACCCTCACAAACAAACCCCCGTCACCCTTCCACTTGTCTTCTGCCACTGACTTTTGTTATTATGATACGCGTTTATAATGTTCGATTAACCCTGCTCTAAACCCTAAACCCTAAACCCTAAACCCTAAACCCTTGGGGGGTGTTGCAGAGGCCCCCTGGTGGGGCCCCCGCGGCAGCAGCTGGCAGCAGCTTCGTTGGTACAAAAGCAGCATATTAAATTCTAAAAGTCCATTTTACCAAATAAACCCTAAACCCTAAACCCTAAACCCTAAACCCTAAACCCTAGGAAGGTAGGAAGTGGAAGGAGGGGGCCCTTGGGGGCCCCCAGGGAGCTGCAGCTGGAAGAATGAATTTATTTTTTATTTCAATTAAATAAATTGTTTATTTATTATAACTTTTATTTATTTATTTTTTTAATTTATTTTTATCTATTGTTTGTTCTTTGGTTGATGATTCATCATTCAGCTTGCAAATATAAATATAAATGTCAAACAAATGTAAATGTAACTATAAATACATCTTTAAATATAAATATAAATATAAATATAAATATAAATATAAATATAAATATAAATATAAATATAAATATAAATATAAATATAAACATAATTAATAATATACAAATTTAAAAGGGAAAACAATATATGACCTGTTGTCGATTTTTCTTGTGCACCAAACCCTAAACCCTCGAAATAATAGACCCTATGCCCTAATCCCGAAACCCTAAACCCTACACCCTACACTGGAAACCCTAAACCCTAAACCCTACGCTGTAAACCCTACACCCTAAACCCTACGCTGTAAACCCTAAACCCTAAACCCTACTAAATGCGAAACACTAAACCATTGCCGCCACTTCCGCTGTCCCTCATGGTTATCTTGCACGTCGTTTGTGCATTCAAAAGCCCCAATAAACCCTAAACCCTAAACCCTAAACCCTAAACCCTAGTCGCCAGCCCCTAGGTGTTCTGCCGTTAAATTGCCTCCAAAGCTCTGCATCAACCCTAATATTCACACCCTGACGCCTAAACCCTAGTTTTAGGGTTTAGGGTTTAACTGCTCTTCTACAATTTTAAAACTTTCTCTTTTTCCTTTACCAGCTGCCGCTAAGCTGGGAAACCCTAAACCCTAAACCCTAAACCCTAGATCCCGAAGCCAAAGGGCTGACGAGACAATTGTTCAAGCTTTCAAGTCGACAGGCTCCGCCTCCAGAAGGTGGTGGGTAGGTTTCTAGGGTTTAGGGTTTAGGGTTTAGGGTTTGGGGCTTTTCCCTGCGAGCGGCGAGTGGGGGGAACTGAAGGCGCTTCAAGTTCATTTGCAAGTTCCTGACTATGCCGATTAACCTGCCAGTATTGTGCACAAAAGATGAATTAGAAAATAATTTTTTGAATTCTTTTTATTTCACGAATACCTATTTGAAAGGCGGCAGCAAAAGGAACATTCATTTGACCTGCATCTTGAATTCAATTTCAGTTTTGCTGCTGCGCTCCGCAGGTGCGAACTGGGCAGCGAGGGTCCAGAGGCGAATCTGAAAAAGTGGAAACGGCGTTTTAAATCGCCGGGAAAGCTCTTTCTTTTTGATGCTACGGATAAATAAACAAAAAATGAACAAGTTCTGAAAAAAGGGAAGAAAAAGGAATACTGGAAGTGTGCTAATCGGGCTGCTTTCCACTTTCGAGTTTCAGGTGTATCGACACCTGAATCTGCAGTTGCACAAGGCCGCTGCGGCCACTTGCACTTGAATTTTTTGGTCTGCAAAGGTTTTCTTTTCGCGTTTTCCCATGAGAATCCAAGTTAAACATCTTTACACCTTTAGTCGGAGGTTTCCATCTAGAAACGCCCCGAAAGTCACCAGGGAATTCGCATTTCTCTCCCTGAGCAGAAGTGCAGACAGCACTGGGCGGGTCGAAAGCAGGGGTTTCCGCTGTCTTCTTTGAAACAGAAAAGCAGCAGCGGCCACAAAATGCAAATTCACAATTGCAGATTTATTCAAAAGAAATTCCCCTCCGGAGATTCAAGAAACCTGAAAGAAGTGGTTCAGTTCAAGTTGTGCAGCAGCTGCGGCAGCTGTCCAGACACCTGATATTCGGAAGTCCAAGATAAAGAAAGCAAGAGCAAAAGTGAGTCACTCAAAAATTGAAAAGCTGCTGCTGCTGCCGCTGCTGCTGCCGCTGCTGCTGCCGCTGCAGCACCTCGTGCTGCTGCCGCTGTGCGCCAACAGACGGAAACGAAACGTGGCCCCTGCTGCTGCTGCTGCCACTGCTGCTGCAGCAGCAGCATCTTCGCGGCCCCTGCGCAGCAGCAGCCAGCCCCGCCCTCTCTCTGCGGTGTACGTACAGCTCGGCCTCCCTGGAGTTCAATGTCCACAAAAGTAAACTTGGAATTAGAAATGATTTAAATGGAAATTGAATTATTTAATTTTCCATCAGACTCAGCAGCTGGGCAATGGCCCTGCTGCCGCGCCCCTTGGAGTGGTACTTCACTTCTGCTGCTGCTGCTTCCAAATTTGCTTCCAAGACAAACCCCACATGTTCTCTTTTGTCAATGCGCAGCAGCACCTGGGGGGCCCCCTTGAGGGGCCCCTGGGTTGCGTAGGGGCCCCCTGCAGCAGAGGCCTGGCTTGCTGCAGCAGCAGCAGCAGCAGCAGCAGCAGCAGGCAGCTGCAGCAGGAAAAAGAAAGAAGCAGCATTTTTCCCGTATATTGGAGCCAGAGGCAGCAGCAGCTCCGGCTGCTGCCGCAGGTCTATGCCCGTTTCTTCGTGCAGCTCTCGAGCAGCAGCAACACGAGCCCACTCCTGCAGCAGCAGCTGCTGCTGCAGCAGCTCCTCCCGCTGCAGCTGCGGCTGCTGCTCCTGCTGCTGCTTCACGCGCTCCTCAATTGCTGCAGCAGCAGCAGCACGGGCCCTATGCAGGTCCAGCTTGTGCCCGCAAAAGGTGACGAAGCGGGGCTCCTGCTGCTGCTGCTGCTCCCCCTGCTGCAGCTGCTGCAGCGCAACCTGCTGCTGCTGCTGCTGCAGCAAAACCTGCTGCTGCTGCTGCTGCTTGTGTCTGGCGAAAGCAGCAGGAAAGTCCGTCCAGTCGGCGTGGCCGCCGGGCAGCTGCAGGTAACCCTGAAGCTCGCCCTGGGGTGTATGTACAGCTTGTTTGGGCTTCTTCCTGTTCTGCAGCAGCAGCAGCAAACCACTATTGGGAATTTCCAAAAGAATAAAACCCCTGAGGCCTTGCATGCGGCCCTCTGCTTCTCCGCGGAGTGCAGCAGCAGCTTCCCGCTGCAGCAGCGAGGCCGGCAGCGGCGAAAGCGGGATTGCTGCTGCTGCTGCTGCTGCAGCAGCAGACACTGCTGCAGCAGACACCCCCATGTCTCCCCACGAAAGCTGCAGCAGCAGCAGCGACAGCAGCAAACACACTACCATGAACATCGACGCGTACACCACTCTCCCCTTGCTGCTGCCGTAGCACCCGCTGCTGCTGCTGCTGCCGCACCAGCTGCTGCTGCTGCTGCTGCTGCTGCGGTCGCCAGACTCTATGAGCGGCTGCTGCATCGGCAGGGCCTCCTCCGCTGCGTGTCAGGAGCCTGTCTTTGCTGCTGCTTCTGCTGCTGCTGCT